TTGGACCAATGGTTTGGCTATGCTGATATCTCTGCCTGCTTTCTGTACTGACTATGGACAATAATCCTGTCTGCTGACTGGACAATTGCTTTTGATGTCGCTGACCACGTCCCTGCCTGCTGCCTGGACCAATGCTCTCCTCTGTGGACAACTACATTACTAAAACCACAGGTAATCTTTTGCTTACTGTCAGGACAGGAACGCTGGAATGGACAGGCAGGCCTATTAACAATGTAACGCACTGACTGACGACAACCACCACCCACAGACCAAAGTCCCTCAGGACGCGGAGTCTAAGTCCCAGGCTGCCTTTCACCAGGGCCCCTGATAGTGGGGATGGACTTGACGCAGCCAGGAACCAGGTCGCGGCCCCCGAGACACCCCAGTTGCGGTAATGGCTGCCGCCAATGGTGTGTAGCTGGTGGAAAGGACAATAGAGTAGTCGGGGGGGCGGGGTCGACAACAACAGGACAAAACGGTACAGGACAGCAGACGAGAATCACAGGTCATGGGCCGGGTTCAGCAACGGAGGGTCAGATCAAAGGAGAATACAAAGAATGGTCGAGTCACAAGCCAAGTCAGATTCCAGGAGAGTCACGAGAGTCAGAACAGAGTTATAGCAACACCAAGACACAAGTGCAAAGAGCATGTGCGGAGCACAGGCTTATATGTAATCAGCCACACCCCTCTGGGGGATGGACCTCAGAGACCTGAGGGCATAAAGGATTCCCACCATGCTCTGCAGAAATCCAAGATGGATGCCAGCACATGGAGTAACATAACCTCTGGGAAAAAGTAGGACCTTGACACTTACTATTTTCTCAGCAGAATCTATTTTGGGGTGTAATTCTTGGTATGTACATGCTATGTGTTAGAAATATGGTATGATCAAAAATGATAGGTTGTCTGAAAATTTGATGTGTAATTTATTTCCCTAGAACATCTGACGATGCTACTTTAATGTCGGGCCTCTGTATGTGGCCATTCTGTTAAAAAGTCTCACACATGTGGTATTACCATACTCAAGAGGAGTATCAGAATGTATTTTGGGGTGTATTTTGTTATATTTACATGTTATGTGTTAGAAATATTTTATAAATGGACAACTTTGTGTAAAAAAATTAAGTTTTTATTTTTTTTTTCCACATTTTCTGAAAACTTGTGGAAAAAAAATGTCCTGTTCAAAAGACTCATTATGCCTCATAAAAAATATGCTGGAGTGTTTGCTTTCCAAAACTGGGACATTTTGTGGGTAATTCCATTGTCCTGGTGCATCCAGGCCTTCAAAATTGTAATAGGTAGTCAAGATATTAGATGTGTAATTTATGTCCCTAGAACACCTGATGGTGCTCCTTGCATGTTGGGACGCTCTATGTGGTCACGCTGTGAAAAGTCTCACACATTTGGTATCATTATATTCAGGAGGAGTAGCAGCATGTATTTTGGGGTGTATTTTGTGGTATTTACATGCTATGTCTTAGAAATATATTATAAATGGACAACTTTGTGTAAAAAAAAATACGTTTTCATTTTCTTCCCGCATATTCTGAAAACTTTTAGAAATAAATGACATGTTCAAAAGACTCATTATGCCTCACAGAATATACATTGGGGTGTTTGCTTCTCAAAATGGGGTCATTTTGTGGGTAATTCCATTGTGCTTGTGCATCAGGGCCTTCAAAAGTGTAATAGGTAGTCAAGATATTAGATGTGTAATTTATGTCCCTAGAACACCTGTTGGTGCTCCTTGCATGTTGGGACTCTCTATGTGGTCAGGCTGTGGAAAAGTCTCACACATTTGGTATCATTATATTCAGGAGTAGCAGAATGTATTTTGGAGTGTAGTTGCAAGTATGCCTGTGCTGTGTGTAAAAAATAACTTGTTACTATGACAATTTTGTGGGATAAGAAAATCTTAATTTTCCAAAGAATTGTGGGAAAAAATGACAACTTTAAAAAAACTCATCATGCCTCTTACTAAATAATTTGGAATGTCTACTTTCCAAAAAGGGGTCATTTAGGGGGTATGTGTACAGGACAGTACACATACCCCCTAAATGACGGCTTGTTAGGACCTCAAGAAATGAGATAGGCTATTGGTACATCAAGTGTGATCAGGTGTCATCAATTTTCAATGATTGGTACCATAGCTTGTATACTATGGCTTTCACACAGACCAAATAATATGCACTGATTTGTGTTATTTTTACCAAAGAAATGTAGCAGTATAAATTTTGGTCAAAATTTATGAAGAAAAAGTACTTATTTGCAAAATTCTATAACAGGAACTAAGAAAAACGCATTTAAAAAATAAATTGGTCTTTTTTCGTTTATAGTGCAAAAATAAAAAACCCAGCGGTGATTAAATACCACCAAAAGAAAGCTCTATTTGTGTGAAAAAAAGGATGAAAATTTTATATGGGGACAGTGTTGCATGACTGAGTAAGTGTCATTCAAAGTGTGAGAGCGCTGAAAGCTGAAAATTGGCCTGGGCAGGAAGGGGGTATAATTGCCCAGTAGGCAAGTGGTTAAGAACTGTCAGGTCAGCACAGCTGTCACATGGTGGGAGACAGCGTCGAGAGTGGAGAGGGGTTGTTTTTGGGGGGGTTGCCGGTGGCGGCAGGATGACTTTGGATCCACTTCGGGGGATATTTTTTAATTTTTGTTTTTGATAAAGGGCTTGTCAAAGACTGTCTACTGTAATTTTTTAACACTACACATTTTTTTTGTGAATGAGTAGTGGTACCATGTACCCCATACTCATTCACATGGGGGGGCTGGGATCTGGGGGTCCCCTTGTTAAAGGGGGCTACCAAATTCTGATAAGCCCCCCACCAGCAGAACCCCACAACCACTGGCCACAGTTATGGGGAAGAAGTCCTTGTCACCATCAACATGGGGACAAGGTGCTTTAAGGGTGAGGGAGCCCCCCTGCCACAAAGCACCTCCCCTGATGTTGAGGGCATGTGGCCTGGTATGATTCAGGGGAGCAGCTCGCTCACCTCCCCCCTTTCCTGACCTGCCGGGCTGCATGCTCGGAAAAGGGTCCGGTATGGGCAAGGGGGATCCGGTGCCTGCTACTTTAAGATGAACAGTCCCGAGTAAGGAGCTAATCAGGTTTTCCACCTTTCCTGGCTCTACAGGTAGTCCTCCCTCTGGGGACTGGTGAGGCCAAGTGATTCTTCTGTCCAAGCCTCAGCCTGTAAGTAGGCCCCTTCCCAGTAGGCCCCCTCCAAGACTCCTGCATATCAGCCTGCGCTCCCATCTTCCACCCGAAGTCTCCTGCTGCTGAGCAGGCTCAGTCATACTTTAGGGCTGCTCTGATCCCATGCCAAGCCTCCTTCTTGAGTAAGTCCCTTGAGTAAGCAGATCAGCTCCTCCTCACCCCTGCACAATGAGTTCTAGAGACAATGCAAATCTCTAGATCAGGGGGAGGTATCAGGGAACTGATCTGCAGAGCCTCTCAGCCCTGACCCAAATTTAACCTCTGACTATCACCCAAGCTGCTACTCAGTCCTTCTAAAAAAAAAAAAATTACTAACTCCTCTTAGCTAATTAGGAGGGTGCTACAAAAATAAAACAAATGTGGTATATTGCAGTCTACTGTACAATTTATACAATGCTGCTCAATGAGAGGGATGGATATGCAGCACAGGATGCCAATTAGGTGTGGGACAGTGCATAATGATAGGAGAAGAGAACAGAGTAATAGAGAAGAAAGATGAGCTCATCAGTTTTCTGCATCTCTGTTCAGACACAGGGTGGGGATGGGGAGGGAGCCTGTAAGTGAATGTGCAACTGCAGCAGTGGAAGATCTGATCCACTAGACAGACGTGAGGTGTGGCAAAGCTGTGTAAATATCATAACTAGATGGACACACAAAGATGTGTATGTGGGGGGCTATCCTACCCTTTATTTTTTCAGCAGATGGTTTACTCACAACCACATGGGGCATTTTAAAAACCATTAATAGGAATTGGCAGGTCTGGAGGTCAAAAGTACAATTTTAATAAAATTTACAAGACATAAAAAAGAGTTAAAAAAAATAAGAAAGAAATGATATCATCTCTTATTAAACTAAAATGTATTTTATAAAACCCCTAATGATTGAGCTCTCATTAAAATAATTTCAGGATCCCTCATAGAATTATAGTTAAGGTGAATAAACCTTCAGAGATCAATTTCTATCTTTTGGATAAATAAAACAATTATGACTAATGAAGTGTGAGACCTTCACCGCTATTTCCTGTGTGTACCTAATGAGGTGTGTGAGGCTTTTATTTTTAGATTGGTCAGAAAATATTGTGTTCAAAATAGTTAAAGTAAATATAAAAATGGAAAAAAAAAACGGCAATAAACAAGAAAAATAATAAACGATAATAAAATTTTTGAAAAAGTATATGTGTGTGTGTGTCTGTAAGATAATAATGTAAAAAAAAAATCTATACATTATATTGCCAAAAGTATTGGGATGCCTGCCTTTACACACACATGAACTTTAATGGCATCCCAGTCTTAGCTCGTAGGGTTCAATATTGAGTTGGCCCCGCCCTTTGCAGCTATAACAGCTTCAACTCTTCTGGGAAGGCTGTCCACAAGGTTTAGGAGGGTGTCTATGAGAATGTTTGACCATTCTTCCAGAAGCACATTTGTGAGGTCAGGCACTGATGTAGGACAGGAAGGCCTGGCTCGCAGTCTCCACTTTCATTCAACCCAAAGGTGTTCTATGGGGTTGAGGTCAAGACTCTGTGCAAGGCAGTCAAGTTCCTCCACCCCAAACTCATTCATCCAATGTCTTTATGGACCTTGCTTTGTGCACTGGTGTGCAGTGACTTTGGAACAGGAAGGGGCCATCCCCAAAATTGTTCCCACAAAGTTGGGAGCATGAAATTGTCCAAAATGTCTTGGTATGCTGACTCCTTAAGAGTTCCCTTCTCTGGAACTAAGGGGCCATTCCCAACCCCTGAAAAACAACCCCACACCATAATCCCCCCTCCACCAATCTTTACACTTGGCACAATGCAGTCAGGCAAGTACTGTTCTGTTCTCCTGGCAACAGCCAAACCCAGACATGTCCATTACATTGCCAGACAGAGAAGTGTGATTTGTCATGCCAGAGAACAAGTCTCCACTGCTCTAGAGTCCAGTGGCGGCATGCTCTACACCACTGCATCTGACGCTTTGCATTGCACTTGGTGATGTAAGGCTTGGATGCAGCTGCTCGGCCATGGAAACCCATTCCATGAATTTCTGTATGCGCTGTTGTTCTGCTAATCTGAAGGCCACACCAAGTTCGGAGGTCTTTAGCTATTGACACTGTGCGCTTTAGCTGACCCCGCTCTGTCATTTTACGTGGTCTACCACTTGGTGGCTGAGTTGCTGTTGTTCCCAGTTGCTTCCACTTTGTTATAATACCACTAACAGTTGACCATGGAATATTTAGTAGCCAGGAAATGTCACGGATGGACTTATTGCACAAGCGGCAACCTATCACGGTACCACGCTTGAATTCACTGAACTGAGAGTGACCCATTCTTTCACAAATGTTTGTAGAAGCAATCTGCGTGCCTAGGTGCTTGAATTTATACACCTGTGGCCATGGAGGTGATTGGAACACCTGAATCCAATGAATTGTAGGGGTATCTCAATACTTCTGGCAATATATATATATATATATACATATATATATATATAGTAAGGTTGGAGTACAAACACATCAGGTGGGCTTTCATCCAAAGTTGAAATATTAGTCCAAATAATGGGCAAATGGTTCATGTATTATTTACCTTACTGGAGTCCATCTGCCCTTAGCTCAGGCTTGCAGACAGAGGGTTTCCTTGACTGAGAAAACTCCACCTCCCCTCCTCCTGAAGACTCCTGGGATGTATGATGTCATTTACTCGGCCTGGAAACCAGGAAGTTACTGTAAAATAATGTAAAAAAAAAAAGTTTTAAAGCAGGAACTATAAAATACTTTTCTATCTATGTACAAATGCTAGTAACATAACAATGGTCAATGTTGATTGAGAGAATGAAATTCTGCTTTAAGGCCTCATGCACACAGAACATTTTTTTTCCTCCCCTGGATGCCCTAACTCATGGGGAGGAAAAAGCAGCTCAAAATTCCACCTAAAGCTGCATTTTGCAAATATGTTTAGGCAGTCAGGCATTTTGGCTTTCGTTGATTCCACTGGCCACAATAATAATTTATTCTAGCCACTGGAATGAATGAATGCTCAAGTGCCAATCATGCGTAGCGTTTAGTGCATTTACATGTGTTTAGACTCGTCTAGCATTTTCTCCACCAAAATGCTTCTCTCCTGAACATGTTAGTGATGTTTTTTCTCTGCCTATAAACACCTGCAAATGCCCATGTGTAACAAAAAGGGACTTTAGAGGCAGAAAAAAAAAAGTCAGATTCCTCTGACAGTCCAGTTAATGCCCTATGTGAATGAGGCCTAATGTTTCGATTCAGATGCAACACAATAGGAACAACAGCTTGGGGTTTCCTTGCCCTTTCCCAGGTTCACAGATGTACAAAATGTAACAATTCCCATTATTTATTTATTTCAGGTACTTATGCTGTCAATTAATGCAGTGCTTTACATATATATATAATATATATATTTTTTCTACATTCCAATTCCTAACCCTCAAGGGTGTACAATCTAAGGTCCATAACTCACATTCAACATACACATACTAGGGCCAATTTAGACAGGAGCCAAAAAACCTACCAGCATGTCTTTGATGTGGGAGGAAACCAGAGTACCCGGAGGAAACACGCAGGCACAGGGAGAACATGCAAACTCCAGGCAGGTGGTGCCATGGGTGGGATTCAAACCAGTGATCCTAGTACTGCCAAGTGGAAGTGCTAACCATTTATTATTATTATTATTATTATTATACAGTATTTATAAAGCGCCAATAGTTTTCCTCAGCGCTGTACATTACAAAGGGGGAACAGAACATGTGACAGAACAATACCAATACAATGCAAAACATTGAGGGGATTGAGGGCCCTGCTCTTTGGAGCTTACAATCTATTTAGCCACTGTGCTGTCACATGACTAGTACCCGAGATAGGTTCACAATTACACCACATTATTCCATATTTACTTACTATTTTTACAGAAAACTTATGCTGTCAATTTACCAGCACGTGCCTTTTATTAACCAATCAAGTATAAAACACACATCATTCCTTATAACAGAAAACATAAAGAGTTGTCGTTGGTCATTTGAAGGCACCACCAAAACGGAAATGCACCTGCGTACAACCATAGGTCCACTAGGCCTCCACCGCACCAACCAGCTCGGAGACACCATACTCCGCAGTGCAGCCACCACCTTCCAGTTAGAAGGAGCCTGGGAATTAACCCGGGCACACCATACCAACGATGGGTCCCACACCATTTTGTGTACCTCCAAGATAAGAACCGCCTCCAAAGACCAACCACCGCCCAGGAACCAAAATCACCCCCCCCCCCCAGGAGGAACACAACATTCACCAAACAGGGCGGGCGGGAGGGAACTCTCTTTCCCACGTCCAGCTCCCAACTGACGCCCCTCCCCAGAACCACCCTAAAGTGGGATTCAACACTCTCCTCTACCAGCGATCCCCCAGTACTGCCAAGTGGAAGTGCATAACCACACATTTCCTTCCCACTCTGCCTACTGTGCCTGTCAATTCACTAGTTTAGCTTATGAAGAAATTTTAAATTTAAATATTATTTTTAAAGAAGAGGAAACACACCATTCTCACTATTGCCAAGCGACTGACGATGTGCGAAAATGCCACCCTTTAGCCTGCTATTGTCTAGGGGAAATAGCAAATGGGTAGGTCAGAAAATAGAAACAGAAACAATTTGTCAAATGAATAAAACCTCACGCAGACTTCCTCATATACACAGGCATACAGCATACTTTTTTGTGCCTTTAAAAGCAGTTCTATGTTACCCTAGGTGGTCATCAGGCATTTTTAGATAAGTATTTTATGAGCAGCGTTTATAGACATAAAAAAAGCCCCAAACCTGCGTTCAGAAAGGAGCATAATTTACACTAGTACATTTATTCCAGTAACCAGAATAAATTGATATTGTGGGCAGTAGAATGAGCTTACACTAAACACCATACATATGTTAATGTACATAAATGCACGTATTTACACACCAAAACAAGTCTTTTTTACACTTGATTCTTCGCTAGCTCATGGCAGAAAGGGTTCCAGTGTAAATAGGAGTATTTTAATATGTTTGTGTGCATGAGGCTTAAATGTTCACTATCCAACATATCTTAAAGTTTCTTTCTAACTAAACTAAAAATAAATGTGGCACCCTCCTACATAGGTGCTAGGTTTAGACAGATACATTTTAGTATGTTTTTTTTTTTTACTGGTACCAGGGAACACACCAATTATATCAATAAAAACTTTGTTTTTATTAGAGATTTAAAAATCTAGATTGACAAAAGGCATTAAAAACTATATAAGGTCATCGCTCACGTATATGGATCATCACTTCAATTCAGACAGACATTCTTCAATTCCATTAATCTTTAGAGGTCAACACGTTTTGCATAGGTGCTTCCTCAGGGCCTTCAATTAGGATTTGCATAGTTACATAATTAGTCTGGCTGAAAAAAGACAAAAGTCCAGTTCAACCATAAAAAAAAAAAAAAAGTTATAATCCTATACCCACAGTTGATCCAGAGGAAGGAAAAAACCCAGCATAGCATCCAATCCAATTTGCTAATGCAGAGAAAAAAATTCCTTAGTGATCCCCGAGAGGCAAACGGATATTCCCTGGATCAACTTTACCTATAAATGTTAGTATCCAGTTATATTGTGTGTATCTAGGAAAGAATCCAGGCCTTTTTTGAAGCAATCCACTGAGCTGGCCAGAGCACGTTTTCACAGCTCTCACTGTGAAGAAACCTTTCCGTGTTTGGAGATTAATTTCTTTTCCTCCATACATAGAGTGCCCCCTTGTCCTCTGTGATGACCTCAGGGTGAATAACTCTACACCGAGTTCACTATATGAACCACTGATGTATTTGTACATGTTGATCATACCCTCCTTAATCTCCTCTTCTCAAGAGAGAATAAATTCAGATTTACAGGAGTATGACATATTTACAAAAAACATACATTACAATATATCCTTAAAATGTATATATATATTCAAAAAAGAAAAGAAATAAAAAAAAAATAGAAGATGGAGAAATTGGTACACTCACATGCTATCCCAAGGTATCCCTAAATTGGGAGGCCAAAGGCAAAGGCTGGCAGCAGACAGGTACAGTTGCAAGAAAAAGTATGTGAACCCCTTGGGATTACATGGAGTTTTGCATGAATTGGGCATAAAATGTGCTCTGAACGTCATCTAAGTCACAACAATAGAAGAACACAGTCTGCTGAACATAATACTACACAAACATTAGATGTTGCCATGGTTTAATTGCACATAACATGTAAACATTCACAGTGCAGGGAGGAAAAAGTATGTGAACCTTTGGACTTAATAACTGGATGACCCTCCTTTGGCAAATAACCTCAACCAAACGGTAGTTGCAGATCAGACCTGCACAACGATCTGGAGTAATTTTGGACCACTCGTCTTCACAAAACTGTTTCAGTGTAGCAATATTCTTGGGATGTCTGGTGTGAATTGCTCTCTTAAGGTCATGCCACAGCAAAATCGGGTTGAGGTCAGGACTGATTCTGTGCTGTTGCAGCCATTGTTTTGTTGAATTACTTGTATGCTTTGGGTCATTGTCCTGTTGCATCACCCATCCTCTGCGGAGCTTCAGTTGGAGGACAGATGGTCGTACGTTTTCCTGCAAAATGTCTTGATAAACTATGGAATTCATTTTCCCATCAATGACAACAATCCGTCCAGGCCCTGAGGCAGCAAAGCAGCCCCAAACCATGATGCCCCCTCCGCCATGTTTTACAGTGGGGATGAGGTTTTGATGTTGGTGTGCTGTGCCTTTTTTTTCTCCACACATAGTGTTGTGTGTTCTTCCCAAACAACTCAATTCTTTTTGGACAGCAATGGCTTCCTCCGTGGTGTCCTCCCATGTACTCCATTCTTGTGTTAATGTTTTTCCATTCTTAATGTTTTCCTTATTGTAGATGTGTCAACAAAAATGTTAGCATGTGCCAGAGATTTCTGTAGGTCTTTAGCTGACACTCTGGGATTCTTCTTTACCTCATGCAGCATTCTGCGCTGTGCTCTTGCAGTCATTTTTACAGGACGACCAAGCCTAGGGAGAGTAGCAACAGTGCTAAACTTTCTCCATTTGTAGACAGTCTGTCTTACCGTGGACACATGAACATCAAGGCTTTTGGAGATACTTTTGTAACCCTTTCCAGCTTCATGCAAGTCAACAATTCTTGATCATAAGATCTTCTGAGAGCTCTTTTCTGCGAGGCATGATTCACATCAGACAGTGCTTCTTGAAACCAGTAAACCCAAAACAGGTGTGTGTTTTTTAAGGGCAGGACAGCTGTCAGCAACATATCCAATATCATCACACTGATTGGAGTCAAGGTTGGCTCACTCTGGGCTCCAATTAGC